TAAACATTATGGGACCATCCAGACAACAAATTTTTTTCCTTTCTTCCTTCTTCGGGCTCCTGAACCAAACCTTCCACCTTGTATTTCGAGAACACCATTACACACAACTACTGGTCCGGCAGGTCGAATTTGAGCAGCACACTTTCCTCTTATGACGCCTGATTCGAAAATCCGGCGCTGATTTTCACCACTCAGGCTTCTTTTCAATTTCTCGAGAACTTCTTCTGTGGGTAGGTTCGCCAAATTTCACAGATACACAGCTAAAGGTACTAGCCTCCAAATGGATAGTAGCCCGCTGCTCTATCCCCTTTGCTTTTCTGCCATTCCTCTATATGTCTCGGCACTTTTGAATGGGATGACCTAATAGTTAGGAAAATGGTAGGCTGGGTGGCAGGTAAGAAGTATGGGCATCCCAGAGGATGCATTTTGATTGTGGGTCGTAATTTGCAAAACTTCTCCCAACATGTTTGCATTCCCTGACGAGAATGTGTTTTCAAACCAAACAATTCAGGTATGACTTCAATCTTCGCACAGGAGCACATAGTACAGAATTCTATCCATCGATTACAGTACCTCTTTTCACTGGATGCTATAACACACTGAATCAGGGAAAATCTGAACGGCTGTTCCAGTTAATGAAGGCGAGTTTGCCGCGGAGGATCATGACCACATATTCACAGTTTTCCCCTTTTCCACTCGTCTTATTTGTTTTCTTTTTTCCAGAACTTGGGAGTATTGAAATATCCGGGCGGTGTTCCTACCTCGATGGTTCCGGATAGCAAGGAGCAATGGGATTTCCCTAATGGTTTCAGCCCTTTGAATCATATGATCGTCGAAGGATTAAGGAAAAGTCAAAATGCCCAGATGCAGGATGCGGTAGGGATTTCTCATAATAGCCGAAATTGTTAGAATTATTTCGCAGTCGAGTCACCAAACATCGAGAGCTCACAAAAAGCATATATTTGCGCGCGATCAACCCCTGTTCCGGTCTCTGACTTTTCATCTGGGACGAGTCTAAAAAGTGTTCTGCGAATTATTGGAAACTATTGAAAAACCCAGTATTTTAGTATGTCGGGTGGATCAGACCTTTGTAGAATGCGCCGCGCACATGAATTTCAATCGCGATACTGGTCCCATTGGAAGGAATCTAATCGATATAAACTAGCGCTTAGTTGAAGTTCACTACACTCTGAGCAATCCCTCTCTGACAGCGCCCTTTATTCTACTAGGGTGACTGAAAGTTCCTTGGACACTGTGGATGTCCTCGTTCAGAAAGGTTATCCCGCCAACTTTCAGATCTCCCGGGCAGTTCGAAAAGCCGTTCGATAGAGAAAAGAACGGTCGACAAGAACATTCTGAACATTGCCTAAACATAGTGGTTTGTGTCTAATATGCTGCCTGAATTCACGCCCTCTGAACACCATCTCCGCAACGTCATGTTGTTCCTGTTCTTTTCTGACCTTAATCCTAACGAGTCCTACCTCCACCTGCAGGATATTCGAAAGGGGGATGCTCCCGCTCGCAGCACCATTTGTTCTTAGTTCGCCAAGTTCAAGAAAGGTGAGCATTCTATTGAAGATGATGAAAGGACAGGGCGACCGACTACTGTGGATATTGACATACTACGGGAGCAGGTAGAGCGCCTGGACCCTAATCTCGAAGATGTAAAGTGGGTAGTATACATCCAACATCCCCCGCCGGCGCCCAATGGGTAGACAAAGGAGGACAAGCATAAGACGTCCCAAAACCTGACCTGCATGGAAAGAAAGCGATGTTATGCTCTGGTGGAGTGTTTGTGGGGTAGACTACTGGAAATCAAGCCAAAGTGTACTTTCAGCCTGAAAACTCCAGATCAGACCACACATTGCAAGGGCGACGGAGTATGAACTAGCGACGTATGGCTGGATTGCCCTTCCTTGTCCGCCATACTCTCCAGACTTTGCTTCTTCTGACTACTGTTCTCGAATCTGCAACGCCATTTGGAGGGTCAAAAAGTGAAGACCCACGACGACGTCGAAAAGGCACCGGATGGATCCTTAAAAGCCCAGTCAGCTACGTTCTGTTCTCGAGGAAGGGCATCTACCTACTCGTTGGCAAAAGACCATAGATAATAGTGGAGCATAATTCAAGATGACTAGCTGTGGTTGTTTCATTTTTGTGCAATAATAAATTTTAGGCTTCAAATGTCCGAGAACTTGAATCAACCTAATACTTCCCTCCCCTATCGTATTGCCATTGGAATGCAATCTGGTCCATATGTTGGGCAACCGATATACAATCAAGGATACTTGTACTCCCGGACAAATCTGGTACAATTTAGCCGACCTCGTGGGAATGGAAGGCTCTGGTTGGACCACGCGGAAAACCATCTGAAATTTGATTGACAAAATGTAGTTTTGATAGGCGACACCACTCAACCTCACACCACCTTCACCCTTGACGAGGTAGGCAGAATGATCAAAAGTGTCGCCCGTCAATTTTTAGCCGGCGTAACGCATTTGATTTCCATTCGAAGACTGGGAACCATTTAAATGCGTAATAAGCATCGAATTGCGAGTGCTAACCGACATCAAAATACATTTTATATCTATGCTTAGAAGTCCGATGTCATTGAAGGCATAAGGTACGATAATTTGGTACTCGGTCTAAAACCGTAGCAGGGGTGCTATACAGTGGAGAAAATGACGATTAGCATCAGGAACCCTGCAGAAAAGCCTTCGTTCCTCACGACTCAGAAAGCGATTTCGGACGAGTTTCCCGTTGGCATCGTGCCAATAACCGCTACGGTAGATACGGCTGCATGTATGTACTCATATATCCATGCAGCACCGCAGCCGCTTCATATCAATCCCTTCGCTTCATATTGTACTTCGCAAATGAAGCGATACGAGCATCAGCATCGGTCGGACATTTGTGGGCGGATGGGCGCGGTGGGCGTCGGGTCGGTATGTTGTAGCTCGGTGGAGCTTTAAAGTATTATCCTTGGAAAAGGTGCCACGGAGCGCCTGCTCATGGGCGCCAAATTCTGTTCTGCTAGGTTTATATTAGTCCTACACTTCTTGGGGATTGGATCGTGCAACTTGCCTTTGAGCTGACCCCCAGAGATATAAAATATTTGGATGAGTGAACCCGAAAGTATAATGTATTTCTGAGGTCCGAGTAAGTGCATTCTTGGTGACGGCTACCTATTCTCATGCTGACTTCTTTTATGCATAATATACAGGGGGGCGGGCCCAAAAAAAAGTCATTTTGTCTCCATGACTTTCAAGGCGCTATAAGTTA